TAGGGGCCGGTGAGAAGGCGAGCGCTTGGCTAACGAGGTCTGCCTCGGAAGCCCGGAGAGGCGGCGAGGGTGTCTGGGTAGAGCTGCGTCGGCGCGCCGTGCCCGTCAGAGCTGGTGACGGAGCTCTCATTTGAGGGATGTCTCTGATGGGCTCCATCGGGCGCCTCGCAACGACGAGTTCTGTCCCTCTTTTTGTGGCGAGTCTGGCGTGCTGTGAGCAACGCTGCGACGCGTGACCTGTATTCACGTACTCGGGGAAGTGCTGTCTGTGTTGGAGGCAGCAGCTAACGAGAGCTCCTGTGACGAGGCCGTGTGTGTGTGTGTTTGTTTTTAACCGCAGTGTTCACCCTGAAGGAGAGGTGTCTCCAGGTGGTTCGCAGTCTGGTCAAGCCGACGGACTACAGGAAGCTGGACATCGTTCAGTCGTTGTATGAAGAGCTGGAAGACCATCCTGATATTCGGAAGGACCTTCAGCGGCTTTCTCTGGAGAGAAGTGAAACGTTGAGCAACGGAATTCTGGAATAACATCATTACTCCCTCCGGACTTTTTAAATAGCAAACCACTGAGTTTCAGCAGCGATAGTCAGTGCGAAATATGCCCGGAACTAACATCTGTGGCTTAAGTTCCGAAACATAAACTCGGTTAAATCGTAGAAGACTTGCTGTGACGGTGAGTCAGGTCCAGACGACTGACCAGCACGTCGAAGCACGCCAGGTTCCCGATGGTTCGGTTCCGTTCTCCGTTACGCGTATTGCACACTGACGACTCGAGAGGCCTTGTGCGGGTGAGGCTCAGAGGAGGCTGATTTGGACTGTCTCAGGACACTGCACAGGGACATAGATCAGGTCGCCTGTGTGGAGAATGTGCATACAGATCAGCGTGCTTTGTGTTGGAAAGTAAATTACACCCAGGATTCATTTAATCCAGGCTCTAATAAGTGGCAGGCCAACACCAGTTTTGCTTTAATAATTTGTTCTTGATGGAATTTCACTCTCTTGCACTCGGTCTAGCTCTGCCTGTGAATCACAAAGCGTGGGGGGTGTTTGTGTATGCCAGGGTTTCCACCACCACCTGCTGAGGACCTGACCCGAAACGTTATGTTGGTGGAAAGATGACGTGTGTAAATGTCTGGGGTTTTCTCTGCCGCTTACCTTTGCATTTATAAACCCGTGTTGTATCCGCTCTGAGGCTGACACAGTTTTACACAGATCACACCTTGAATGCCTTATTTGTCCTTCACAATGGGATTCTTGTCTCGCTGATCTCGAGGTGGTCCCACCTAGTCAGCCATATAGACTGGATCCTAGTTTTGGGACACTTTTCTCGTGGCGCAGCTGCTTCCCCAGCTTCCTGCACAGGTTCATTGGGTAGCGTCCGTAGAGGGTAGATGCTCCAGGTCCTGCCTTTTCCCATCGCAATGCAGTAGTCCAGGCTGTGGGAGGCCTCTTAGGCGGGCCCGGGGCACTCGAGCTGCTCGTGTCTCCTAAGGGACAGGCAGCAGACTGCATCAGCTGGCACAGGCCCATTGCTGGATCCCGCTCGCAGCCAGATCCAGGCTTTATCACAGGCTAGATAAGCAGAGAAAACATTTCTTTGCCTACATTCCGTTGCCCCCGTACCTCAGCTAGAGTGCGTACTTGTGTGGATGTGCACGCGTGGTTGAAAGCAGCATTGCTTTCAGCAGATGGGTGAATTGTCCCCCCAGTAACAGATGTAGTGCTGTCCAGTGTGAGCAGCAGGTTGATGGGAGAGTGTAGCAGGCTATTTCTGTGTCATACGTTTCTTTCCAGTTATACATTCTAAGAAACACAGCTGTGAATCTGAGAATATCAACGTATTTTGTAAGTATGAAATGTGCCCCCTTTTTGTAGACTTATTTTTCTTACATATTTGAAGTGTATGAATTGATCTTTTCCATAAAACTGTAAATCCACGCTAACTTTTTTACTTTATTCTGTCAAATAACTTCACAGTACAGCTGCTTTCGGAGTGGGTTTCCAAACTGTTCCAGCCCCCTGTCGCTGCCGGACTGCGTTGTGGCTAGCACTGAGCTGTCACCGCAGCTTCAGGCACTGCCTGTGCCTGAACCTAGCTCTGTTACTGTTTCGGCTTTTACCACCGTTTGCAGATCTCTTTCAAAGAAGAGTGAGGCTGTGCAGACATGAGTAGGTCATCCAGCTCCTAGGGAGTCCTTGGGTCTGAAGGTGCCGCGCTGTGCGCCTGGAGCGGGGTCCTGCAGGCACCCGAGAGGAGCTTCTCTCTGATGTCCCCGCGATGCTGCGCATTACGACTGACGGGGCAGTGCTGCCAGCCAGCTGCAGAAAACTGCCCTGCTGGACTCTGCAGTTTTAATGTGGTAGGTATGAGGTCTTAGGTTGAACAGATCTGTACAGATCACAGACATTCTGTATATTTCTGGTTTACGTGGGGTCTGTGATCTCTTGTGTTGCTTATTAGAATAATTTAAATTTATTCCATTAGTCTGACTTCCTCAGTATACAGCCAGTTGGTGATAGTTTCCTAATACAATGTGTGTCATTGCTAATGGATCAGATTCCTTGGATTC